CACGGGCGGACGCGACCTGCGCCCACTCCATGGCAGCGGTGAGACGGATGGAGGCACGACCGCGGCTTTCAGCGACTGTGCGGAGAGTCTGTACGGCTGCATCCGCATCTCGAGAGGTACCACCATTGGAGGCACGCAAGGCGAGGTTCTGGCCTAGCTCGAGGCCAAGAGCAGCGCGACGCTGGTCATCCGCCGGTGCCCTTGAGAGCGCGGATGACGCGTAGTGGATAGCGTCGTCCAGATCCTCCGAGCGATGTGACAACTGGAATCGGTAGAAGAGCGCAGTGGCCAAGTCGCGCTCAATCTGGGCTTCGAGGTGTGCGCCGCCACAGAAAGCCCTACGAGCAAACTGCAGCTGTCGTATGCCTTCATCGACTTGGCCGATATCGTCAGCGTGTTCCCCGCGGGTCGCGAGTGCAAGCCCATAAGCGGCCTGCGCAGGATAGTGAACATACGTGCCCGTGATGAGGAGGTGGGTGGCGATGCCGAGACGGTTGACACATTCGTCGAGATCCTTAATATCCTCCTCGGCTTCGAATCGCTGGTACATGACGAGTGCGAGGTCGGTGAGATAGATGACGTACATCGGGTGGTCCTCCGGGCACTTCTGCACGGCCTTGCGAGCGTGTGTAACGGCAACGTCGAGGTCGTCGATGTCCATCACGACCTTGAAGCGCTGCGCGCGGATGAGCGCGAGGATGTGCAGGCTACGCGCCGCGTCGGGGTGTGGGGGAGTCCCTGTGCTCTGGAGGGGGCCGATCAAGGGTTCGTCGGCGTCCGATAGGTGGGCCGAGTAGAAGAGTGCCTTGTCGATATCATCGAGATTCCATGTCCGGAGGAAGAGTTCGAGGTGTACCTCGCTGAGAACGCACAGGGTCTGCACGTCCTGCATGTCACCATCGGGTCCAGAAGTGGGAAGAAGGCTGATGACCTCCTGCAGATCCTGTACCTCTCCAAGAGCGCGGTACCGGTCCAAGAGACACTCCGCCAATTCCAAGGAGAGAGCATGGAGATTATCGGAGGCATCCGGGTAGAGCGAACGAGACGTTTGTAAAGTTCGCTGGCAGACGTTTACGGCTTCCGTGAGCAGCTCAAACTTTTGGTCCCTCCGAGCCAGGAGACGCTGCGAGTATGCCCAGTTGCGCGCCCTCACCATGGTGGTAGCCGAGATGCCCTCCGCGTCTGCGCTCAACGCGAGCGATACCGCTTCAACCGCCGCGTCCAGATGGCGATCTTCGTGCGTCAGCTCGTAGACGCTGAGGAGCGTGGCGCCGAACGAGGACTGCATGTCGCGGTAGTCGGGGGATGACTCGGGCGTGAACTGTAAGCGATGAGAGAGGCTCATCGCCATCGAGCCGAGATACAGCAGGTTCCCCTGAAGTGCCCGCTTCATCTCCCGAGAGACCCAGTCACCTCCGAACGCCTGGGAGAACGTGGATGTAAGGGTTTCCGTGCGGTTCAACGCGGATGACAAGTGTTGTGTGAGGTCGGGAGGCGGCGCGGTGGAGGAAGATGCTGTTGAAGACCCCAGGGTGTGCGGTGTTGGTGCGGCTTCAGAGTGCTCCTTGACTGCATCGAGTAGCCGCATCGCGCGTGTGACGAAGTCCGCTACTCCCTTTAGACTCGACGTGGAAAACTCCTTCGCATCGTACATCGCCTCTTCTGTATCTCGTTCTGCGCGTGCAACGCTGCGGGCGTATTCGGGAAGTATGGCCATTGGCAGCTTATCCTGAGAAGAGGAGCCCAAAGAAGTCTATACGATTGTGCGTTTGCGTTGAGGACGGAGCGTAAAGTTGAGCGACAAAACAATGACATACCATTCGGAACCGCTCGTGCTCCTCCAGTAGCGAGTCCTTCCACTGGGTGATTTCCTCGGCCCCTGCATCCGGCTCGAGCACTTTGCACAGTGGCTCGAGAGTCTGGCGTAGACCGGGTGCTTGCGCACTGGCAGGAGCATCGCTGGAATCCTTCACAGGAACATCCAGACCTGGTGAAAAGCTAAGATAGATCGCGAGGCACTGGAGTTTATCGGTCTGTTCGATAATATTAGCAGAGCGGGGCTTACTGAGCAGGAGGATCGCTGTGCGCGGTACTCAAAGGATTTTCTTCCCCTGTTTCAGGAGGATCTGTCCGTGTACTCAACATCTCGCTGAAGGCACGGGAGAGTTCTTCCTCAAGAGCATCGGTAGGCATGTTGACGAGCACTGATGATATGAAGTGAGTCGCTTTATTCGAGATGTTATGGTAGCACGAGGAGACCTACATGTCGATATCGCCGAGAAACCTACACCACGCCCCACCGTCTCTTACGACAGCTTTTATGCCCCTCATCATACTACTGCGCTGCGGCACCGACGCATAGAACCTACTCACAGTTTTGAGGGTCAGTGCCAGACCCGCGGACCCGCAAGTGGCAAGTGTCCCTCATATCCCCGCACGCCAAGACAAGCCAGCACGTCCCGCCGTACCAGTGTACGTCGCGTCGCCGCAGGATGTGGCCGACCCATGCCCTGGATGGTAAAATGAGCTGCTCACGGGGATGATGGGCGCTGTCAACACGCACGACGCACTGAAATTCTCGGCTCGGCAGGGTCGCGCCGGCCGCATCGCCGCCGCAGCAAATCGTAAGTAGGGGCACTCCACCGAGGCGCAGGGCACGAATGAGGGGGCCGATACATCCCCTCGCAGATACAGCACGGTGGTTGAGACAAACAATGTCCTTCTAATCATAAGGCGCTAGGCAATACACAGGACGCACTGTAGTGGAATGGTAAGTGACGCGGGGTTCATACGTATACACGGGATATTGTTTGCGTCGTAGCTTCTCGTTTTCCTCTTCACCCGCATCTCGAATCGGCTTTATAGCGTGGGGTAAAGGCCGGCATCGCGCCGCGCCTTCGTCATCGCCGCCACGATAGCGCTTCCGATGCCGCTGCCATCCTCAGCGTGGTACGTGACGATGGTCCTGAGGAACGCAAGCATTAGTCACATGCGCGCAAGGTGCATGCAAACAGGTGCTACTCACTTTCCCTTCTCGCCGAAAATATCTTGCAAACCCTCGTGTATCCGCTCCGCGAACCCAGGGTACTTGTTGTACAAAGACCCGTCTGCGCCTACCGCGCAGCCGTCCTCGAGATAGTTCATCTTGCTGACGATCGCAGCGATACCGCACGCCGACAGACGCGCGGCGCGGCGCGCAACGAGCTTTGCTAGTGCGCGGAAGAATTGGCGTTCCGCAAGCGTCGTCTCCAGGGCGAAGAAGTGGGAGAAGATGCCGATGATCATGAGCAGCTCGTCGGTCGGGTCGCTCTCCATGAGCGAGAGGAATGCGGTGTCGAATGAGTACGCAATTTCCACCTTGTAGGTGTTCTGGCCGAGGAACAGCACACCCTCGTCGATCAGCTCGCAGATGATCAGGCGAAGGATTTCGCCCAAATATCGACCAGAGATGAGTTTCTGAAAGGCGTCAGAGGGGTTGCCGACTTCTACGCTGAGAGCTGCGCACCTCGAACGCCTGCTCGCCAGGCTTGTTTGAGGTTTCGTCGATGATAATGTCGTACTTCGTCCGCGGCAAGTTCTCGTGCTCGAACGAGTCGAACGCGCCCTGCATGATAACCCTCAGCATCATCTATACACAACATGAGGTAAATACATACCCATTCACAGTTGATCGCGATCTCCGCATTGGGGTCAATGCCGAGCTCCTGAATCTTGGGTATATCGCCGGCGCGCTCCATGTACGCGGCATTGCAGCCCGTGCCGAAGATACACGCAATGCGCGTCTTCGGGTTCACGTAGTGCGACGCAATCAGGGTGCCCGTGGTATCACAAGTCAAGGCGACAACCTCGGCCGGTACGGACTACCGCACCGTATACTATGACGTCAGCGGCGATAGGCGGTAGCGCTAGAGATAGAGCGTACATGTTTCGCGAGAGACTTGCGGAACATGGCGACGACGTCGTGACCCTCGGTGTTCGGTGAGCCGAAGCCCTTCGTCCACCGGATGAGTACACCATGGTCGATGCGTTCTTGTCTGGAGCACCGATGAGTTAGCGTAACGCAGTGCATTGCACAGAATCGACGTACGCGCAAGGGTAGGAGAACTTGCGAAAGCATCAGGAATCGAATGGTGACGAGGCCACAAAAGACGCACTGTGAACCCGAGAGGAAGAACCTGATCCTTTTCGATCACTCCTGACTCGATGTTGGAGTCGATGAAGGCCTTCAGACACTCCGCGCAGAAGTCGAAGAGGATTTGACCGTCTTCCTGCTTCTGCTCCTCGGTCAATCGGTATTTCGACTGCGTGATCTCGAATTTGCCATCGCCCTGAAGCGTCACCAAGCATACTCGGAGATTGGTTCCACCTGCACAGAGCGCGAGCGATAAGTATCCACGTCTTGAAGCGACCAATGGAAGAGCGGACAATTCTAAGATCTGCCGGGAGTAGGAAAGGAAAGAACCGCTCACGGTAACACCGGAGATGTTGCATCGAACATGGAGAAGGCAAGCGGAGGGAGAAGCTCACCGAGATCAACCGCAAGATAACTGCCCGTCTCCTGTCCCGTAGGCCAACCGAAGACGTAGGTAGGTATCATAGGCTAACAGGAGTAGACGTCAGACATCAGGTAGCCGTAATAGGGCCATAGGGCGTACCACAACCTGGCCATGCTTAGCAAGACCGAGCTCGAGCGACTCCTTGAATGCCTCGACGACGATGCGCATGCGCTGCGGCGTCAGGGTGAACCTAAGTGCGGATTGTGCGCCCGTAAGCGACCGCGCGATGCGCATATTGTGCACGGAGACTCACAAAGCCTCGTACTTGCGGAGGTGGTCCGCCATCTTCCTGTGATTGTCACCGATCGCTGGTGTCGGGTGGGGGGAACGGGGGAGGATGTCTGGAAACGTACTTCTTGGTAGCGTGAGGCAGGCCATCGTCATCTTCGCTGGACCTGGTGTAGGACGGGAGTGTTTGTCCTGAGGGGAGGATTACGCTCGTGCTTCCGCGTCTGCTGGCCATTATATACGGAGGTGGCGGGGGTGGTGGAGACGGAGAGAGAGAGAGCGCGGGTGGTGGCCAGGAGCAGGAGCACCAGGCCCGCCCCGCTCGATCTAATCTCCACACGATAACCCCGTTTTGGGTACATGCCGCCCCAATTTACCCCTGTTAACCCCCTTGCCGCGTCATAACTCCTCTTTCTCCTCCTCATCCGTCTCTCCGCCTCTTCCTCCTCCGCCACCACTCTCGACCGCGACGGATGATCGGCCTCAAGGGAACGCTCAACGTACACATCCTCCTTTTCTGCTCCATTCCGCCCTTCCTGACTCGGCTCTCACCCAGGTCATTGACAACTCAGGGGCCCTCCTCATCGAGTGTGTCAACGTCCTCAAGCAAAAGGTCAACAACGGCTGGGGCTCCGTCGGCGACGAGATTGTTTGTGTCGTAAAACGCGCGCGGCCTGTCTCCGGCCAGACCTCTGCATCTGCCGCCAAGGTCCGCCAGGGCGACGTCCGTCGCGCTGTCATCGTCCGCACACGCAAGGCCGTCCGCCGGCCAGACGGTCGCTACATCCGGTTCGATGACAACGCCGCCGTGCTATTAAACAACAAGCGCGAGATGCTCGGTACGCGCATCGGTGGGGTTGTGAGTGCAGACTTGCGTATGAAGGGGTGGGGGAAGATTGTCTCGCTGGCTCCCAAGGTGAGTAAACAGTCTCTCTACTCGCGTGTGTGTCAGTCGTTTGACGCGTCTCTTAGGTCGTATGATATGTAACCTATAATCTGTCGTACCTATCTTACCATCACACCTCCTGTTGGTCGTGAGTGCATCCTTCGCGGTCAACATTCCGTTTTCAAGGTTAGTCATGAGGCCTGACGCTTCAATCTCTGGTCGGGAAATCGTGCTGGGGAGCTCGGAACTTGCTTCAGATGCTCCACCAACACCAAATGGCCAACGCTGTTGGGTGGCTTGCAGCACTAAAAGCCATCTCCGCCACCCGCGCCCAAAGCAGGCGTAGTCTACAAGTACGCACCCGCGTGGTGAGTATCCCATCCCCCAAGGCGATCAGGTACCTCCCGTCAGCTACCGCTGGTTTCACACACCAGACTTGACGTGGTGAGTTCTTTCACTGGTGTGCGTCATGTTCATCCCGTGGCGGAATACGGGGTAGGTGTGATTCACGAGGCAATGTAAGTACGCATATCTGAAAGCCATAGTACTAACAGCGTATCAGCAGCACCACGCAATGTTATTTTTCGGCTCTGGCGTCATTAAGATTCGGGGTGCTCCATAAACTCAGTCTTATACACGGTCGGGGTCATCAGGAAATAGGACGATTGGTCGTCGTTTCATCTCAGCCTGCCGGCTTGTGTATAGTGTGAGACCGTTTCGTACTCCTCGCACTCGTCATGTATCAGCGATTCGAAGCCGAGGAGGATATTAAGGATCTCGACGAATGTGTCAACCGTCTCGGCATCGCCACCCACCTCCTCATCACGGGCACGTATGTTCACTATCCTGCGCAGGCCGCTTATGGGCTTGCACTCGCGACCCGCGGGGAACACGCTGACGATATCGGCCAAGTCGATGAAGGCATACGACAGCTGCAGTTTGCTCGTAGGGCTTTCTGTGGCGGTGCACACCTCGAAGCCCAGATTGAGCGCGACTTGGCCACTGCGCTCTTCTACCGATTCCAGTTGTCACATCGCTCGGAGGATCTGGACGACGCTATCCACTACGCGTCATCCGCGCTCTCAAGGGCACCGGCGGATGACCAGCGTCGCGCTGCTCTTGGCCTCGAGCTAGGCCAGAACCTCGCCTTGCGTGCCTCCAATGGTGATACCTCTCGAGATGCGGATGCAGCCGTACAGACTCTCCGCACAGTCGCTGAAAGCCGCGGTCGTGCCTCCATCCGTCTCACCGCT